CACGACGCTATTTCCAAAATCTGCATTTATTTACAGTTCAAGTCCAATCACATGCAAACGGTTTTTTTCCCCCTTAAGAATAGTGTGATTAGCAAAAAAGATGCATTAGAATTTTAAAATAGCAATTAAATATACAAAAATATAGCTTACAAAAAAAACAGCGAATGTTTTAAAAAATATTCTGCTGCAGAATTCTTAGTGTACAAACATGTCTATGAGGCGTCCAAGCTCCATAAACCTTCTTAGGATTCACACAATATTTACATGGAAGGAGGGGGGGAAATATATACACACACACACACCCCCACACCCACACACACACCCCGCAAAGCCTTGAGGCCCTAAGCACATGAACTACCTCTAGCCTACGGACCGGTCACAATTGTTGCTATCGAATTACGCAGACCAATTTGTTATCAGAAATTTTACCCCCCCCACTTCTAAAAGGATTGGGAAGAACAGTCTACTCTGCCGTTAGAAAAGCCTGTACAATGTAAGAATACTCGGTGGCCCTTTTCTAACACCCTTGGAAATAGGCAACGAGACTTGTAAATACTGGCAAAAATAGAGCAAAATTCAGGAAATAGCCTGTCCCTTTCATTTGTACCCAAGTCATCGCTCTCTGTCTTTTATATTTTACGAGTGATTCCCAGACATGCTGAGCTGGAGTCTGATGTCAAAAGGGTGCAAACTCATTGGCTTTCATGGAGCTAATCCCAATTTCCACTGCGGAGAGAGAGACCAGATGGGTCATCCATCAGCAGGGCAGGCAGCAGGATGCTGAGCTCACCCAGAAGCCAGAGTAGGTGACAGGAGCCAGCGTTAACCCAGTAAGGAGGTTTGAGGAGACGTGTCCAGCCAGGAAAGGGATGCAGAGCCCGGTGCTGCAGCTCTGCCCTGGCTGAGGGGAAGGGACTCTAACCAAGCTTCACAATCCACCACCACCACGAACGCGTTGGGCCAGTGGGTCCGTGCAACGTGATTGAGGGCAGCCACTTAATGCACAGGCCTCTCGAGAGAGCGTTTCCTATTTTACAGGTTGGCTGAAAGTTGCTTCACTTTCTCCAACAGAGCAAGGCAATAGTTACAACGGAAGGACACAAGACATAGGCACATAAGAGAGCGTATCACTTCAAATATAATGGCACTGGGATGGTCTTTGCTACCGGGAGGTTTGGCTTCTACAGCACAGTGTCACCATCCCCTTGTGACATGCACAGCTTGGCTGCTCTGACAGCACCTGTCCACGCTACTAGTGGGAACAGAAATTTGCACCGACCACGCACTTGGGAGAGGATATCAAGTTAGTAAGGAATACCCATGAGCAGAGACGGCTTTCTCTCGTCCTACTTAAGATCTAAGTGAGAAACCTAAATCAAGGTTGGATGTGTGAGAAGGGATTTTGCTTTCATCCCCTGGGTGGATGGGCGTAGGAACAGATGTTGCATTTGTCCTGGGATAACTTGTGCCTGCATTTGTCCTGGAACAGGAATGTCCTGGGATTGGAGTGTGCACGCATTGCCCTTCCAATCAAGGTTTCGTAGGCAGCTGAATGCACGGCTGCTTTTCTGTCCTGGTTTAACGATGCAATCCTGGGATAACCGTCTGGCCGCATTTTGTGATACCTTGGGACAAACTATTAGCATTCCTTATCCTGCCAACCCTTTCAGGGTTTGTCCCGGGACAATGAACACAGATGGCTGAATGACTGCGCTTTGTCCTGGGATAAAATGGTTTCTTCTAGGACAAATGAAGCACCTGTTCGCAGTTCAAGGGTCTGACCCTGAGAGATCAGTCATCCACCGAGTCCATTAAGTGGAAGGGGAGCCTGGTTCTTCAAGGAAGCACTTTTAAAAAGGACCCAAGGACAAGTATTCACCGAAAGCACCGAGTTTCCTGGAAATTTTAGCTTGATCCCAGCCACGTTCC